AGAAAGCCTCACCGAGTCTCAAGACCCTTTTTGTCAGGAGGGTGCTGCTACACTGGGATGATAAGCTCCACTTTTAGAATGAGAGTTCAGCTTCGTGTGGGAGGAAACTGAAGAACCCTGAGAAAATGCAACATGCATACAAGGAACAATTCAATTCTCCGTACGGATGGATTCAATAATCTAGTGCTGTACTAATCTCTAGCCACCTCGGAGCTCAAGCCTACAACACCTGGTATTCCCAGGTGGTATTCCCAGGTGGTATTCCCAGGTAGTCTCCCATCCTAGTACTCACCACACTGAATCCTGCTGAGCTCCCAAAATCAGACATCTGGCAATATTCTTGGTGATTTTAATGTAGACAGTGAATATATTATGAACAGTGATGCACAGTCTTAATGTCCTCTTGTTGAACACTCACGCATTAAACAGATAACGAAACAAGCAGAAAATTCGCCCCCATATCAGTCTCTGCATATAAAACTTTAAGTATTTATTTACACATCCCATGAGCCACTCGGCCTACATTCTGGATGTGCATAATTTCAGCAGCATTGGTTCCACGCAAGCAAACCTGTGGACCTTTTTCGACATGAGTTAAACACGTAGGTTTACATTGTCTGATCAGCAGGCAGACTTGAACCAACGCTGGTGAACTGCTAGATGTTTGTAGGCAAGGACCCTCTCTCTGTTTGATACGGGTGCTTGGTTCACGCAAACCTCTTTACAATAAAACGCAAACTAATCAGCAGCGCGGTTGGCAAGAACATACGCAACAAGATAAATAAGCAGACAATGCGCCTCTTTGCCATGAACACAGGTGTGGGACCTACTTGCTGTTTTATAATGTCCACTGGATATGTCAATCTCTGCTGGCAATGATTTATCAGCCAGCCTCCAGCAGCAAAGGGCAGGCGCTGGCGACCACGCTGCACGTGACCTGAACCCGGAACTCTGGAGGCAGCGAGAGTGGGTAGATCACGCACACGACCGCAAGACTCCCTCCCCGCTCGTGGGCATCCAAGTCACAATCTTCTGGATTATGCTCAGAGTACGATAGAAGTACAGCAAGTGGGTTAATCTCCATTTATTTACTCAGCTGTTCTTCCACAAAGTTGCCCAAACATCCCAATATAGAACCAGCCTCCCGCGTGCCTGCGGTCTCCTTTGCACGAGTTAAGATGTCGACAGCGTTTTGATCGAAAATCTATAATCTGCTAGAATAATGCTGCCATATTAAAAATAAATAGAGAATTTCTGACTTCCTAGTGATTTAAATCCCGGCCAAAACAGCAATCGTTTCTCTTGAGACTACAAAGGAATCGACACTCCTGCTGCACGGGGGAAACAGCGTCCCTGCTGCAAAGGCAGGCGGGATGAGTCCCCGTGGCTCCAGGCCTCCACAGGTGCGCGCGTCTGTGTACGCGACACAAAACAGACATCCTCAACGCCCTCCTGGGCCGTCGCCAAGCGAGACGAGCCCCCCACCCCCAACAGGCCCCCCCCCCCTTGCCTGCCCCAGCTCAGAGGAGCCATAAGGCCCCGCCCCTCCCTCTCCTTGACTCGTTGTTGTCCTGACAGCTGGGTTGGGTGCACCGAGTCCTGTCCTCCGAGCCGCTCCTACGAGCAGTAACCCCTTGTGCAAAGTGCTGGCCTTAATAGGTGTTTGCTTATAGCACTTGCCCCAATCGTATGTTAAGGCTATAGGGGGTATTTTTATCTTCATGTTGAGTAGTGTATATAGTGGTTAGCGCACTGTATGAGGAAATCGGCAGCCTGAGTTCAATTCCTCCTCACGGCCAACATCAGTGGCGATTATTTTAACCGAAGCTGGTTTGGGAGTTTCGCAAATCTTTGTGCGATGCACCAACCCTCGCCTCCAACGCGTCAGATCACAGTGCATAGTGGGGACAGCGGTTGCGCAGTAGGTTATCTCACTGAGAAATGCACCTGGCCACGTGAGTTCAGTTCCCGGCCATGGCTAACATCAGTGGCCATTATTTAAACAGATCTCGGGAGGGTCCGGCCAGACAAATGTGTGACCAATCATAACCACACGTCTAATTTTCCATGTTTTCCATGCTCTCAAGTTTAATTTTTTTCCCTGATCTCCGATCCATATGGAACAGCTTGTGTGCATCACTCGCTCTCCCTCGCTGTCTGTCTGCCGTGGATTGGAGAAATCTCATTAAGGGATTTTGAGCCTGGCCCTTGGGCACGGTCTCACCACGCTCCGTCCGACGCGGCCCGCGATCAGCCCTGTCGGCCACGAGGCAACCTCCCCCGCTAACTGGGGCGGTGACACGGCCCAGCGGTAGTAAAGACGCTCGTGACGGTAACTAAGGTGTTCGCTCGGTGCAGGCACCATCGTGCTCATAGCGCGAGCCATCGACGTAGTCTGCAGGAGTTTCACAGTCGGGGCAATGTTGCTGCCTTGCGTGCGATCCCAATTGAGTGAATTGCGGTGTAAGTTTACAATCTGGCGAATTTGGACAGTGATGCTGGGACACAATGGCCTGCTCTTGCTCACGACATCACGGGACCTCTAATTGTCCACTGTAAAGTGTTGCACTGTAAAGTCAGTACACACTGCCAAAGTAACCAGGACGGCCTGCCGAACCTCTACGATAAGCGGCGCGCGCACCACCGTTGGACCGCATCGCCGCCCCAATTGCAGAGGTTCGCAGTTCGAATCTAGCAGGCTGCCTTAATTAATACTGCGGTGCCTATTGACCATAAAATACTATGGACGAGCCATCCACTTCTCTCACGGTGGCCAGTAAAGACCCCGTGACGTCAATTGAAATGAGTAGGCCGTCATGTGCCGGCGCCGCGGGCAAAAAAATTGCCAAATTATAAAAAATTAGCACCGCAAATGACTAAGCGGTGGCGTTGGGGGCAGGAGTGACCATGACGATGGAGGAGCAGGAGTGGAACATCCGAGAGCGTTGGGGGTGTTGCGACCGCCGCACGGCTTCCCACGCCCTCCCCACACGCGGCACGACCTCGGCGTGCGGGACAATGTAGCTGCTTGCTCACCCGCCAGCCTACACCTGGCAAGGCCAGCACGGCCACGCCGCGAGGCCGTTCCCCTGGGGAGGCGTGGGATTGTTGTGGTGACGGTGGCTATGCCGCACACCTGCAACCGGGCACTGTGTAGGTGAGGGTTGGTGGATCGCCAAGACGTTTGTGAAACTCCCAAAATGGGGTTGATCAAGATAATCGCTGCATGATGTTAGCCGTGGTTGGGTTCATAGCGCAGAGCTCTCACCACTACCAAACTGCTACGCACGATTCATGCTCGCACACAAATACAAAGCTCGCCTGTGTAGCCTACAAAGGATGTGAGGGTAAGTGCTGTTAGTGAGCAGCTGTTGAGGCCGGTACGAAGCGCGAGGAGCTGGTGTGGCCGGCACCGCACCTGGACACCTTTGTCTCTCTCCCCACCTGCGGGCATCGAGGTTGTCATCCCCTGGCTTGTGGCCCAAATAAGGCAGTAGAGCAAGTGGGCACATTTCCCTCTGTTTCCATCTGGACAGAGACTGAGCGTAACGCTCCTCTCTTGGACGCTTAGTATTGGGACCTCCCCTCGGTCAACTCAGCCTTAAATAAGTAGCTAGTGCGGTCTATAGACATCGGCACAGAGGAGACAAAGATTGGCTGGACGTGTTGGCCATGCCACACTCTCGTGTGCCGGCCTTCATAGGCGCTCGCTACAACACTCATCTCGTCAAGGCTGCAATGGGAATCTGCGTGTGTGTTGCGTGTGTATGCGTGTATGGACGTGGGAAGCAATGGTGCAGAGGTGATCTACACAGATAGGAGTAACTTGACCTTGGGCAGGATTAGAACTCATGTCACTACTGGGAGCTCTGCCATCCTCTTTATACACAAACACAACATACAAAGATTCCCCCTATTTCCTTAACAGACTGCAGGGGTCAGTGCTGTTAGCAAGCACCTATTAAAGCCGACATGGCACACAATGGGGTGCTGTGGCTATCATCACGTCAGCTCTGCTGCCTTTGTCTTCCAGGTGTTACTGTTTACACACCACGCCAGGTACTCATTCAAGGCTGAGTCGACCTACATGAAGCTCGGATGATTCGTCACCAATGTAGACCGCGAGCGGAAATCGAACTCTAGTCAGCGGGTTCCCAGTGCACTAACCACTGCGTCACCGCTCCCCACATGTGATCCACCAACCCTTGCCTACACACATCCGGTGTTCTTCACACACACACACGTGCATAGGAATTTAATTAAAACACAAGGCAACAGATACGAATGCTGTGAGTCTGGCATCCTGTGAGCCAATGTCACCATCGTGGTGCCACGTTCGTGGGGGGGGGGCGTTTGGAGCCAACGCAAGACCCACCCCCACCCCAGCTCCTCCTCCCCCTCTTCCCCCTCCCCTACCACGGGGCTCCCAGCTGTCCGCTCGGCTCCCCAACCCGAGCACCAAGTCAACGGCGGCAGCGTCACTCACGCCGTTCTAAGTCGGGACAAGAAGCCAACGGGGTGATCGGCCCAACGAGGCCCATCAGGCGGCACGGCTTCTGCCCAGGGGCCACACGGCCGGTGGCCACAGCGGGGCCTGGGAGACGGCCCAGGAATGGCACGCTCTGACAGGAGACACGCGGGTCAACCCACGCAACCCCACGCAACTCTCACATGACTCCACGCGACCCCACGCAATCCCGCGTAACCCCATGCAACCAACCCCAATGTGACCGACCCCAATGCAACCCTCTCTCAATCCCAATGCAACCTGCACAAAACCCTAACGCAAACCCAATGCAACTTCCACACAACCCCTCTATCTACATCCGCTCACCCTCTCCCGACTCCACATTCCCTCTCTCATCTCCATCTCCCTAATCTCCTCTCTCCACTCATCCTTCTGTCCCTCTATCCTCCACCAGCGTGGTCTTGATAACATACACGCGGCCATGGAGCCCAGGCTAGCCAGGTCCCTCCCCCCATCCCCCCCAACCTCCCACCTCCCGCCCCTCGCGGACAGGCGACCGCGTCCTCACTCTTGTTGGCGACCAGGGCGACGTTAGGCTGCCGCTCAGCCTCCTCGTTCACCTTGCGCACCATGCCCAGCCAGTCCTCCAGGTCCTCGAAGCTCTGGTAGTTGGTGATGTCGTACACGAGCAGCACGCCCTGTGACACAGTCATGTTGGCAGGTGACTGTTGTTATTATTATTGTTGCTGTTTTGTAGCGGTTTACCCTGGAAAGTCTCACCGAGTCTCAGGACTTTCAGGAGGGTCCTGCCAAGCTTCCGTAGTTAGGTGGTGATGTTAGTGCTGCTGTGTGCTGTGTGTGATCCCAATTTAGCAATTTTGAGCAGTTAACTTTTAGCAATGGGATGTTTTGGAAAATGCAAGTTACAATCTATGTGTATTTTTTGCGATGGGAGGAATCCAGAGAATCCAGAGGAAACCCATGCAGAACAAGGGGAGACCATACAAAATTCACACACTCACTCACGCATTCACACTCTGCAGAACAGGAGGAAAACATTCAAACTCCACTCAAAAAGCGGCACCCGGGTCAGGAATTGAATCCAGGCCCTTGTGCTGTGAAGCGCGAGTGTTACCAGTCCGCTGCCGCCCTGATGGCTGCAATGGTCAGCGAGGGAATGACGGGAACGCTGGCGTCACATCAAAATTCTGACATCGACACACTCCACCAACCCGCATTGACCAGCGTGGTGAAGTATATGGAAATATTTCTCGATTTAAAGCTTTCGTGACTGCAGGGATTCATCTTCTTGGTTCTTTCGGTCATGCATAATGGCAATAAAATAATAATTAAAAAAATAAAACAGAATTAAAAAAAATCTTACGACGTTTCGGCCACAACACAAGTAGCCTTCTTCAGGTGAAGGAACAGAACTGTCGGGACGACAGCGCTTCAATGACCACTGCTAAGCTTGGCAGCGTCTTTTAAGCTGGGTGGGAGGAGCAGAGCGCCTTTACAAAGGCGTTTACATATCAACAGAAGAATTTAGCATTGAAGTAGCTGTGTTAATGTGTTGGATTAGCAGGGTGTTAAAGTCAGAAATTAGCATGTAACTGGGAGATTAGCATGATGTTAGTGTGAGGGATTAGTATGTAACTGGTCATGGAAGTAGCTATGTTAAAGTCAGAGTTTACATATCAACAGAGGCATTTAGTATATTGACGCTAAAGAACTGCAACTACCCAACTATCATACAATAAGCCGATGTGAAAGAACTAAGTATAAACTACATCAATATAATAAATATACTCAATATATTCTTCAATAAGTTGGGCTATTAACATAAAGTAACTGGGTATACACTACACTATATAATGAATACCATATAGTAAACTGATAAAAAACTAAAATATAACCTACATCAGTGTTATCAATAAACTCAATATACTCTCCAATCAGCTGAGCTACTAACAATAAGTCGTTAAACATTACAATTCTACGTCGAAAAAAGTGGCGGTTTATATTTTTTTCAACGTTAGCACCACGGAAAGCGACGAGCTTTGTTCAGACGGACGAGTCCATCTATGCTCGGAACGGAGGAGGGGGGAGAGAGAGAAACAGCCACGATGCGCTGCACTGTCCTGTGTTGCGTTACAACTATGCTATAAACTAGACTACTATACATTACAATGTTATACCTTCCAATCTAATCTACATTGTAAAATATCGTATACACAGCCCAATGTAAGCTCTAACATTATGCATTATATTGATATGTCTCCAACTAAACTTTTTCTACATTACACGACTATACACCGTAATATACACTGCCATAGACAGACCCCACCCTTGAATTATACAATGCGTTACTATACACTACCCTCTACTTTACACTATTAAATATTAGACTTGTAATATTACACTATGTATTATTCTACCAACCCTATTATATACCACACTGCTGTATATTCACTATACAATTACGATAATATATTGCCTTATGAATTTTGGTAAACATTACACTATTATACTATTTATTATTATACAACATGCTATAAACCATACCATTGACCGTCGTGTGAAAGGTATTAAGAGGCAGTGCCAGCTAATGGACTGCGGTCTGAAAGTCACCGTAAAATACAATCAATCAAGAACCGAAATGGTTTATAACGTCTTTCCAATGGTTACTAAACCAGAATCCTCTTGAGGAGCCATTCAAAACCATCACCTTACCCTCCTACATTGCAGGGGTCACAAAAAAGATCTCCAAAATCCTGAATAAACACAAAATCCAGGTCCGATTCAACACAGTACATAAACTCCGTGATCTGGTTCCGTCTGTAAAAGATATGGTTCCAGACATACAGTACCCGGGCGTCTACAAACTAAGTTGCCTCTGTGGTAGCAGCCACATTGGAGAAACCAAACGACACATCTCGGACCGCATCCGTGAACATAAAGCAGACTTGAAACACGGTAGGACGAACACCTCAGCCGTGGCAGATCACTGTTATAAATTCAGTGGGCTCACATGACATTGACTTCTCCAAGACGGAGGTTCTCTGCAAGCCTTCCGGCTACCATGAGAGATTCGTTCATGAGGCCATCCACATATAGAAACACAGAGACAATTTCAACCGAGAAGATGGATTTTGTCTTAGTAACCATTGGAAAGACGTTATAAACCATTTCGGTTCTTGATTGATTGTATTTTATGGTGACTTTCAGACCGCAGTCCATTCGCAGGCACTGCCTCTTAATACCTTTCACACGACAATCAATGGTATGGTTAATAGCATGTTGTATGTATTGTATAATTCAAGGATGGGGTTTGTCTATGGCAGTGTATATTACGGTGTATAGTCGTGTAATGTAGAAAAAAGTTTAGTTGGAGACATATCAATATAATGCATAATGTTAGAGCTTACATTGGGCTGTGTATACGATATTATACAATGTAGTTTAGATTGGAAGGTATAACATTGTAATGTATAGTAGTCTAGTTTATAGCATAGTTGTAACGCAACACAGGACAGAGCAGCGCATCGTGGCAGTTTCTCTCTCTCCCCCCTCCTCCGTTCCGAGCATACATGGACTCGTCCGTCTGAACAAAGCTCGTCGCTTTCCGTGGTGCTAACGTTGAAAAGAAAAAATAAACCGCCACTTTTTTCGACATAGAATTGTAGTATTGTAATGTATAACGACGTATTGTTAGTAGCTCAGCTGATTGGAGAGTATATTGAGTTTATTGATAACACTGATGTAGTTTATATTTTAGTTTTTTTATCAGTTTACTATATGGTATTCATTATATAGTGTAGTGTATACCCAGTTACTTTATGTTAATAGCTCAACTTATTGAAGAATATATTAAGTATATTTATTATATTGATGTAATTTATGCTTAGTTCTTTCACACCGGCTTATTGTATGATAGTTGGGTTGTTGCAGTTCTTTAGCGTCAATATACTAAATAACATAGCTACTTCCGTGACCAGTTACATGCTAATCCCTCACACTACCATCATGCTAATCTCCAAGTTACATGCTAATTTCTGACTTTAACACCCTACTAATCCAACACATTAACACAGCTACTTCAATGCTAAATTATTCTGTTGATATGTAAACTCCTTTGTCAAGGTGTCTGCTCCTCCCACCCAGCTTAAAAGATGCTGCCAAGCTTAGCAGTGGTCATTGAAGCGCTGCCGTCCCGACAGTTCTGTTCCTTCACCTGAAGAAGGCTACTTGTGTTGTGGCCGAAACGTCGTGAGAATTTTATTTTATGTTTTATTTTTATTATTTTATTTCCATTCTACGTGACTTATGAGGAAATAATTACCGTGACTCACATGGCCTTAAGAGATAGACACATGTTACACTGTCAGTATTTAGGGCTGGGTTGGCCTAAGGGAGGCCCAGGGCAGGTTTGGATGTTAGCCAGGTTTGGGAATCTAACCCAGGTGGATGGATTCTTAGTGCAGAGCGGGAATAACTATGCCATTATGCACAGGCACACTCGTTTATGCACACACTCAGACACTCACACATTCGCATACACACTGGCACACGCTCACATGCGCGCACACTCTCAAACACACACCCTGTTACAAACTCACCTTTCATACGTGCACACACACACACACTCACTCGTATACACATTCTTGCACACACTCTCTCAAACACATACTCTTGCACACATAAACGCACGCACCCTCGCCTCCACACCTACTCACACACACCCACATGGGCCCCAGCCAGCATACAACAACCCGTTCTGGTCTGCCACCGCCAAACCCGGGTCGCTGCGCGGTTACCACTCACACAAAGACAAAGATCCCCCAATGTAGCCTTAACAGGCCGTTGGGACAAGTGCTGTTAATGAGCACCTCGGAAAGCTGGCGTGGCACACGAGATGGGGTGGGTGTCCGACACCACACCAGGGCGCCTTTGTCTTCCCAGTGTTGATGTTTACACACCACACCAAGTACTCATTTAAGGCTGTTGAACTACGGACGACCCAGGACCGATTTCAATACTGATCATGAATGTTGGCTGTGAGCAGGAATCGAACTCGGGCCGCTGGCTTTGTAGCACAATGTGCTTAACTACTTTTCCACCGATCTCCACCACACAAAAATGCTTACACACTCTTACACACTGATACTCTCACAACCCCTCCCTCACCCATTCTCACTTGCACATACACCTACTTACATTCACTCCTATTCACACAATCACAATCACAAACACCGACTCACATTCACTCTCAATCGCACACTCACACGCACTCACAAAGCTCCTTCTCACAATAACTCACATACAGAAACAAACACACACCCAATCAAACGCAAACCTACACACGCTCACACACACGCTCTCTCGCTCACATGCTCAAACAAAGACAAAGACACACTCTCTCGCTCGTGCACCTACACACTCCCTCGCACGCGCACCCACTCTGGCACACACTCTGGCACACACTCTGGCACACGCACGCCCCCTCCCTCACTGTGCTCTGCCCCCCTCTATGCCACGACACCGCTGCCAGCGGAGGTGTCGGGACGTTGACGCGTGGCGCGTCCCGTAGTCACACGCGCGATGACAACTACCAGCAGAGGACGATCACTCACCCCAGCGGCGGGGTTTCTTTGTCTTTGCACATCTAGGTGTTCGTGCGTAAATTTGTGTGTGTAGCTGTGTTTGCACGTGTATATGTGCGTATGTGTACCCACGCATGTGTACATGTGTACAACAGGGGTGCGGAAGTGGTGAGCATGCTGTGCTATGAACCCGGCCACCCGAGTTCGATTCCTGCTCACGACCAATAATAGTGGAGAATATTTGAATTGGTCCTGCGCCTCCCCTAGGTGGACTCAGTCTTAAATGAGTTCCTGGTGAAGTGTGTAAACATCAGCACTGGGGAGACAAAGACGGCCGGGCATGGTACAGCGTGGTGCTGTGCTGGCCTTCATAGGTGCTCGCTAACAGCCCTCGCTCCAACAGTGCGTTAAGGCTACACGGGCCATATTTGTCTCTGCTGTACGTACGTGCGCTCCATAGATGTACTTGTCGAGCATCTTGCCCCCCAGAGTCTGCCCCCCGATGTCCCACACCTGCAGCGTAACGCTCACGTTCCCTAGGGGAGCCCAGGGTGGTGCGGGGTTGGGGGGGGGGCAAGAAAGGGGTGAGAGACGAAGGGAAGACAAGTGTGAGCAAGGAGCGGTGCTTCCACGCATCACAGTGAAATCCTCCTGTACGCAACTCAAATTAAGCGCAACTTCTATTAAATCCACAACATCTCTGATGTCCATCACTTTTTCCGAGTTACAGGAGTCGTGTTGGGAATGTGGGAATATTTTCTGAATTCGACTGCAGAAAAAGTGGGTTTTTAATCCGTCTGTGTCGCTCGCTATGACGAACGGATCGGACACGTGAACAGCGACAAAGAGACGATGGAACAAAATCTGAAAAGTGTGCAAAGAAATTGGAGCAAAATTGGGCCTTCATCTAGCAGTGGATAGACCATGGCTGGTGATGACGATTCGTGGAAGTGGTCATCGCAGGAGCTAAATTGTCCGTGGTTTAGTGTTGATAATGAGATTAATTGTGCCGGAAAGGAGAATCATCCCATGATCTGTGTTGTCTGCAACTGGGAGCAGTTACCATGGGCATAAAATGAATCCTGTTATCCGCACGTGTTCATGGCTAGGAGGAAGTCGCCTAGCAGAACTGCGGCAAATTAATTTGATTATCCGAGTTTACCAGGGATGTATATTGGATTAAACATATTCCGATGTGTGATCTCTCAGGACAATTTCAAATATTTTTCAGATCTTCAAGTCATGAGCATCACGAAGTAGTGGAATGCGTCTCCGACCCAACGAGCGTGACGACACCGGGTGCCACGTAATGCCGCTCCCCACTGAGCCTCGCACTTTCCGAACGAACTCAAACAAATCAACTTTCTCAAATTATATTGCAGAGTACTCAATTGGGATTACACACTCAGTAGAAATCATTGTCCCCTGCTGGCAGACTAATGCCCGCTCGCAGGCTGGTGACCGACTCACATTATGCCATACTGGGACAGCTGCCACTGGGGGTGCCCTATCTGATTTAGGAGACGAGATGCGACGACGTGAGTCGCTTATCGTGCTTGAAGTGCCCCGAGACGCCCCGGCGTGAAGGAGGAGGGCGACTCTATCAGAGACAACTCCATCTCGCTAACGAAATTATCACGGAAATTCGCAGATAAAGGGATCTGCCGTTTTAGCGCCGCCAACTTGCCGGCGGATATGAGGAGCGCCCTCGCACTGGGACCTGTCGCCGCGGAATGCGTTTGAAGCGACACGGCAAGGCGCTGAGTTTACATTCCTGCCCGGCCGCTTCGCTGAGCATCTCCATCTGAGTGGAACCCGCTACAGATGAGCACGCGATTAAATTCATGGGAAATACATTCGGAGGTGTTCCTTTAGCAAACATGTTTACAGCACTGCCTCCTTCTGTACCTCCTCCCCTTCATCATCAACCTCCTCATCTTTCTACATCCTCATCTTCCTCCTTCCTGAGTCTCCCTCATCGTCTACCTCATTCTCCCTCTCCTCTACCTCCGCCTTCTTCTTCTCCTCTGCCACCACCTCCTTCTCCTCCATTGAGTTCCAACAAAAAGGCTTCTCTCAAATCTGCACTGTTGATTGAAGGTTACCATGTGTCTGTATATGTGTGGGGAGCGGTGGTGTGGTGGTTAGCACACTGCAATGGCAAATATCTGAACCAGTCCTGGGCCTTCCCCTAGGTAGACTCAGTCTAAAATAAGTGCCTGTTGTGGAATGCAAGCATCAGAATTGGGGAGACAAAGGCGACCGGGCGTGGCGCTGCCCAGGACACCCCTCTATAGGTGCTCGCTAATAGCACTTGCCCTCACAGCCTGTTAAGGCTATCGGAAGAATCTGTGTCGCCTAGTTACACGTGAGTTGCTGCTGAGGCCGGTGGGAAGGGTTAGGGACACTGCTGTCGAGGAACTTCCTCTGCTTCATAAATGTCGTTGATTTCTCTCCCACCTCAATCACAACTTGATGGTAGGCTGTCGATTATTTATAACTTCACTTGCAATTGCTGTAAACTTCATATATCCTTGTTTATTTACATGTTAGTACAAGTCACCCATATCTCTTTAATGTTTCTATGGCTTGGTTTTGTGATTTGCGCTGTGGACCTGATCTTCCTGAGTCGATTTGCACTGCAGGAAATGTCATATTTACTGTTGATTGACTTTGATTCATGTTTTGCAAAAGATTGTATTCCTCGTTTGACAGTGTTTTTGTTCCTATTGCTTTACTGCATTGCTGTACACTTTGTTTTTTATTCTGTCGTGTTGGTGACCCAGGTCACTCTTGCAAACGAGACTCTATGCCGGTCTCTTGAGTTCTCACCCTGATCACACAAAATAAACTTGAAACTTCCTACAACAACCTCCACACGCCTCGCTAACACTGACTCGGTGACCGTAAGATACTATGTGCTGTCTGATTCACTGCGGATATTAAACATCCCGTGACATCATAAGCAAGAGCAGGCCATTGTGTGGCTGGTTTTGCGGTCCAAATGTGAAAATGACCTGCAAATTACTGAATGGGAATTACACAGAGCAACATCTACCCCTACTGTGAAACTACTGGACACTAGGTCTGCAAAACACAGCGCCTTCCTCTTACAAACACAAAGACAAAAATCCCCTGTATAGCCTTAACAAGACTGTTGGGGTAAGTGCTGTTGGGGTAAGTGCTGTTGGCGAGCGCCTTTTAGAGGCTGACACGGCACACACATACACTCACTCGCACTTGCAGAAAAGGGGGAGAACATGCAAACTCCACAAAGAGAGGGGCATCCGAGTCGGGAGTCGAACCCTGGTTCTTCTTGCTGGGAGGCACGAGTGTCACCACTGCGCCGCCCCCTGCGGCCCTGCATAGTATTCTCAGACTGGCTTGTGCCCTCCAGGCAGCGTGCGTGTGCGCGTGTGAGTATCAGTTTCACGATTGCAATCGTAATCCACTTGCGATCGTAAGCATTGTTACAGACGGCACTCGAAGCACGGAATGCCCTGGTAAATATCGCGTTTTGTGCGTCTCTCTCCCTCTCTCGCGGCCGCATTGTGAAGCACCTGTCCACTTCAGGCACTAAAGAAATATTTTCTTACAATATTAAACAAACCAAAACAAACCTCCCCCCCCCCACCACCACCACCAAGCTCAACCCCTACTCCTACCGCCTCAACTCCCACCTCCTTCACTCAGCCCGCGCCAAGTGTTTGCTCAGTGTTTGGCTCTGTATCTTTCACGCTCACCCATTGTTGCGCGCGGTAAAACAGAACAGTGCTGCCATTGTGTGCTGTTACGTTCCAATTACAGCACCTCCTCCCCCGCCCCAGCCCTCCTCCCCCCCACCGAGACTACCGAGACCACCGGCCACGCACTGGCCGCACCTGGCAGGCCGCCACGGTGTGGGCGCCGTGTCCACGACGCGCGCGAGTTTAAACAGAAACGCCCAGCAAGAACGTCGAGGTGGCGTTGGCGGCGTGTGGTGCCGGGCAGGGTCCCGGCCTCACCAGGCAGGGTGATGCGCTTCAGGAAGAAGTCGAGCCCCACCGTCTGCTTGTACTGCTTGCCAAACGCCTCCTGGGCGAAGCGCGTCGCCAGAGACGTCTGCGAGTGCACGTGGAGGGGAGCGGTGGCGCAGTGGTTAGCGCACCGCACTGTGAACCCGGCGACCCGAAGTTCAATTTCGCCTCATGGTCAACATGAGTGATGCTCCAGGGCCTCCCCTAAGTCGACTCAGCCTTAAATCAGTAGCTGGCACAGTGTATAAACATCACCATTGGGGAGACAAAAGCGGCTGGGCGTGTGGTTGGCACTCCCCCCCCGCCCCCCGTGTGCCGTGGTGACCTGAATAGGTGGTCGCTAACAGCACTTACTAAAAATACAAATACCACAACACATTCCAATCTGATGCAGTTTTATTACACCTCATCCCTCCACCTCCCAGCGTGGCAATTGAACCAATGCGGGAAAATTCTTAAATCCCCCGCCTCTGTCCACCCAGTGGCACAAAGTCCAGGTACCACTGCAGTTAGTCTCTGCTCGGCAGGGCGCGCGGGGTGGGGCAAAGTGTGGGTACTCCCACCTTTTCCGAGACGTGTTGGCCAGCTTGGAAGCTGAGGATTAATAACCTCTTCTAAAGGGCGCTCTCTAGAGCTTCTACTAGTGGAGGCGCTACTGCCAGCAGTGACAAGAACAGGCAATTTCAGGGTTGCACCTTTACCTTTGTGTTTAATTCATGCGCAAAATTTACTCTGTCCGAGTTTTATTAAACACGTTTCCGTCTGCACCTGCCAGGGACACTGCAGCTCAATCCCAGAGCTCATCTTCAGTCAAATTCCACCCTTAATTCCAGTAACCGTCGTGCGCTTAAGTGAATTGCTCCCAATTTCATTTGATCGTACGCAAAGTGGATCAAGATCAATAACTGCGTCTCTTCACATGTGGTTTGGCACAGCTGGGCAGCAGGGTTCCCTACCGCCACCGCCGCCACTCATCGCCAGTGCCAATTAAGCCACAACCGAGAAACTACAAAGTCCCTCCTCGTTAGAGCTACTCACCCAGAACTCAATTAGGCTTTGCTGACGGGCGAACGGTGGCGGTGGAGGGGGTGCTAGTGGGTGGGGTGACTGATGGGAGATTTGGCTGTCTAATCAGCTGCACACTATTTGCTTCAGATAGTCAGCTTCATAACATCAACTTCACAGTGACATATTCACACTCAACTTCATGCCATCAACTTCAGACCATGAAATGAATACCATGAACATCACACACATCAACTTCATCAACTTCACCAACTTCACACCATCAACTCCACAGCTTTACTCGTGGTGTGCTATGAATCTGGCTACACACCCAAGGTGTTGTGTAACTCTGCAATGCTGCTTTCAATATCATTGGACCCCAAAGGCCTTGGACAGCTGTATAAAACAGCTTAAGTGAAAGATTGCCTTACTTTAGGGTACAGTGACTGAGATGGGACGCAAGGGGAAATTCACTTAAATTGTTTCACTCAACTTTGCACGTGGGACTTTTATTCTGACACAATATCTGCAGTGCTGAGGCAATGATCCCCAATGTCTCTATTCCAACTCCTTTGTGCCTCGGATTTCTATTATAAAGCGGCTCCTGTTTATATAACATTTCCTGAAACTTGTATCTGAGCCCAGAAGGGAACATTAGTGCTTTAGACTGTGAACAAATTATTATTGTATACATTTGACATTCGCAGTATTCTTATAGCACAATGCTATCACAAAGGCGCTGTGTTGCACAGGCACAGTCTGCAGTAGTTTCACAGTAGGGGGCGATGTTGCTGAGTGCAATCCCAATTCAGTTATTTGGGATGTCATTTTTTTCAAATTTGGACCATGGCGCCGGCACGTAACGGTCTCCTCTCTTCAAATGACTTCACAGGATCTTTAACGTCCACTGGGAAGCAGACGGTGCATATTATGTCATTGTTAATACACCACCACAGTGATAACCAGGGCTGCCTGTCGGATTCTAATTGCGAACCTCTGCAACAAGCAGTGAACGCACTACCGCTGGTCGTGTCACCATCAAGCACATTTATGCATATCACGTTCTGCTATGTTAAAGACAAACCACAGGAGTGCGATTGTGGCCATGCAAGCCAGACTATGGACCATATAGTAAACCACTTTCATCTGCGCTCCTTCAACGGAGGAGGAACAGCAAAGCGACACGAACCCTCTCTGCTGAATCCCTCTCGTCGTGGCACGCACACCTCCACATTGGCATTGAGCTTCTGGACACAGCCATCATGAACAAGAATAGACTAGTGTGTGCTATGATAAATTAATGTTTACTGCGATATTGCGCTGGCAGTGATGCATGCGCACAAGGCCAGTCATAAAAACTCAACACACGCGGGCAATGACCTTTCTTCGTTGCACGTGTCTGCACTCTGAAGGGCCGCGAGGTTCAAACAACACACAAACTGCACATTGCTTCTGTGCAAAATCTGCCTTACATATTTCTGTGTTGTTTTTGACTTCTGGTTTTGCGGCCTGCACAATTACTCTGTTATAATAGGTTTTCTCATCATTTTAATTTTAACCATGAAGGGCAATTGCCCGAAACGTCGCGTCCTGTGAATTTCCTGTTATTGACAAATGTGAGTTCTGCTACGATATGAGCACTTGATTATACTGTACTCTCATCCCGTATCTAACTGTAGTGAGCTACACCCACGAGACTTACATAACGTATACTTAAACACATGTATTGGTGATACCGCGTTGGCAGTGGCGCACAAGCAAACATTAAGTATTGTTGTTGACACATTGGTTGCTTAGGTGCATCGAGCATGGGGGAGGGGGCGGGAGTTGTTAACCATACTTCACCACGGTGTTAAATTCATTACGGTGGTCATTGCGAGGAGATGGAACGAAGAACTCAGATCGTGTGCAGCTGCTGGTTGGATTAAGTCGTAGGATCGTGAGAGGCAGCGGCTGTGGGAGGCCTTCATCCAGCAGTGGATTGACCATGGTTGATGATAATTTGGTGTTAAGTTTAATAAGAGTAATGATGAGCGTTAAAGTCCGCCTGTGAAGTGTTGCGAACGTACAGAATTAACCATACGTAGCACAGTATCGCTATTTTGTAATTGACTCCTGTGAAACGAATACAATCGTCGTATTTACCTCAAACTCTTCTATTACCACGATATCTGCAGTATATTAATTCGTCACAAAGCTAACATTAATGATACACCAAACATACATTTGACCACGCATAGGCCTGTAGCGCACTTGGGAGCGCTCGGCTAGATTATTCCCCGGGCTACTCGCACCCTCCCCGGGAAGCCTTCTATCCTAGCAGAGCCTATCCCGTAAGAGCCCGGGGGAAGGCGTTTCCTCGGTCAGGATCGAGTGGCGGGTGAGAGCCGGCGGAGCGGGGGGGGTCATACTTCACCTTTCCAGAGGCGCCGTCTCCCAAGATGACGATCTTGAGCTGCTTGTCCTGCGTCTCCTCCTCGGAGTCGGACATGTCTCGGTTCGAGTCGTCCCCCGGCGGCTTCGCGCGGCGCGGCCCCGACTTGCTAGAGCCGGGCCCTTAGCAACCGCAGCGCTGAGGCGACTCCGACCGCGAGCGGCCTCACGGACACAACGGGGACGCTTTACAAGTGTGCGGGGCTCGTGGATCTCTCTCTCGTCTATGTGTGGTTGTCGTTGCTGTTTGTTCCACGTTGTGTTTTGGTTGAGGGCGCGGGCCGCGAGCTCGGCGCGTGGCGCGGCTGTTGCCGGGGCGTTCGGCGCGAGGGGAGCCGCTGCCTCTGCCCGGGTCGCCATGGCAACATATCGTGATGGCGGTTGCCAGGCGACGGCGGCGCTCAGGAAGCCCGCGACGCACGGCCCTGGTCCGCAAGCAAAGCGACTCGGTCGGTTAGTCGACGAAGGGTCGACCCCTTCTTGCTGGGCGGGCCTCCTCTCCGGAGCCCCTCTCCCCTCGGGGTATCTTGGCCTACTCTTCCACGCCTTGTAAATGGTTGGGAGTGCCCACACTTTCCCCCACCACAAGGCGACCTGCCGATCGGCCGGCTGGCTGTCGTAGTGAGCCAGTGTAGAGACGAACTCCTCTTATCCGCGGTAGTGTGGGGGTCGCGGACTCCGTTATCCGCGGGGTAAACACGCAGAATGAACTTAACGCGCGATGTTCGGCTGCTGTTCCACGAGGACTCATGGGGAATGCGCCGATAATCGCGGGTAATTTCTTGAGAACTGCTTTATTTTGATTGGTTTGTTGTCCTTCCCCGCACGTACGATTATCACAGTTGGCGACGTACGGTGCGAAGGAAGTTCAACATACATATGCTACGTAATATGCAGGAGAGGGTCGCACATACGATGAGTTCTTATGTATGCTACTGCTGGGAGGACAGAGGTGGTAGTGGGGGGGAAGATAATAATCACGTGTATTGGGCTGCGAAGTTGTTAATGTTTTTACGAAGTGACAATAAAGAATGTTAGCTGTGGCCGTGGTTTAGGTGCCCTGTTGAACTTCTTTCGCACCGTACGTAGCCAACCGTGCTAATCGGAGGTGTGTTTCGGGTGGATGTTTGTGTTCCAGTTGGTGTATTTTGTATTGCAGTTTCTGTATGTTGTGCTAAAGTTGTGTTCAAGTTGTTGTGTTTGTGCTAAGTTTTGTGTTAACAACCAAGTTATGTGTTAACGCCGTCCTATAACTATGGTTACTTTTGAAAACACAACTAATTATCTTCACTGATATCAACACAATAATTTATGTATGTACTAGCTTTACTACCCGGCTTCGCCCGGGACTTGGATTCACGACGCCCGGCCGCCTTTGTCTCCCCAGTGGCGATGTTCACACACCACACCAGTTACTCGTTTGAGGCTGAGTTGACCTAGGGGAGGCCCAGAACCGGTTAAAATAATCGTCACCGGTGGTGGCCGTGAGCCGAACTCGGATCGCCGGGTTCGTAGCGCGGCGCGCTAACCACTACACAACAATGCGTTACGCTTCCACGTGCGCGGGTCACGTGACAGATTTGACGTCACAGTTCACTTGCCGTGCAAATATAATATGCATTATTGAGCTCCCCCCCCCCCCCCCCAAAAGTGTATTTTAATAATGTTTGCATGGTGTACTGTCTGGAAAGTACCCACATGGCAAATTTAAAGTTTGTTGCATGTCGGGAAGTACGCTAAACATTTTGAACAGACGCACATAATCACAACATTGCCTTTTATATATATGGAGATCATGCGATTTCAGTCTTTAACATATTTTTCCCATGAAAACATTACGCAATTATATATCTGTACACTGCATTGCATACTCTATAAAGATCGATTGTAGGTCTGTGTGAGTCCATGGGTCTCTATGATTCTATGGAGCTCCACGTGAGTCTAAGAGCAGTTAATAATGTGAATAGTGATGCTGTCAACTCGTAACGCGCCGCCACCACCTGCGGTGTTCGCTTGCTCTTGTCGAGAGGCGGCAGGAGGAGGAACCACAGACGAGCGGGAAGGCAGCAGCAGCAGCCACGCTCTGCGATCCTCCCTTTATAAGGATGGTGGGAGACGGTCAGGGCAGCTCGTGAAGCCCGCTGTGTGTCTCCCGTGCAGCATTTGCCGGATCTGACCGAGGTGAAAGACGATGGTGGCGTGGATGAGTGGTGCTCGTGGTATAAGATGCTTTGGCTACAATTTTTCGGGGTTTTTTTGGACAATACTATTTTCATTGTGTGTGCGTTCATTTGTTTAGACCGGAGAACCTGGAAGAAACCCGTGCAGAACAGGGGCAGAACACAGACACTTCACACAGAGAGATTAACAGAGTCCCTCTTGGTTACACAGCGAGGCGCCGCGGGGCCGCGCGTCGCGTTGCAGGGTTCCGTCCGCGGGGTAATTACCTTGCACGCTCGTAACGACGTCGTTAACTGGTTTTGCTGGAAGATAAATAATCTCACCGAGTTGTTTATTTTCTTAGATAATGACTCCTTTGTGTGGACACGTGCCTGCGTGCGTGCTGCGGACGTGTGTGCGTGCTCCCTGCCTGCGAGCCCGCCAGCGTGTGTGCTTGCCTGCCTGTGCGTGCTGTGTGTGAGTGTCTGTCTGTATGTGTATGTGCGTGCTGTGTGTGTGTCTGTATGTGTATGTGCGTGCTGTGTGTGAGTGTGTGTCTGAATGTGTATGTGCGTGCTGTGTGTGAGTGTGTCTGTATGTGTATGTGCGTGCTGTGTGTGAGTGTGTGTCTGTATGTGTATGTGCGTGCTGTGTGTGAGTGTCTGTCTGAATGTGTATGTGCGTGCTGTGTGTGAGTGTGTCTGTATGTGTATGTGCGTGCTGTGTGTGAGTGTGTCTGTATGTGTATGTGCGTGCTGTGTGTGAGTGTGTGTCTGCCTGTATGTGTATGTGCGTGCTGTGTGTGTGAGTGTCTGCCTGCGTGTGTATGTGCGTGCTGTGTGTGTGAGTGTCTGCCTGCGTGTGTATGTGCGTGCTGTGTGTGAGTGTGTGTCTGTCTGAATGTGTATGTGCGTGCTGTGTGTGTGTGTCTGCCTGTATGTGTATGTGCGTGCTGTGTGTGTGTCTGCCTGTATGTGTATGTGCGTGCTGTGTGTGTGAGTGTGTGTGTGCCTGCATGTGTATGTGCGTGCTGTGTGTGAGTGTGTGTCTGTCTGAATGTGTATGTGCGTGCTGTGTGTGTGTCTGCCTGTATGTGTATGTGCGTGCTGTGTGTGAGTGTGTGTCTGCCTGCATGTGTATGTGCGTGCTGTGTGTGTGAGTGTGTGTCTGCCTGCATGTGTATGTGCGTGCTGTGTGTGAGTGTGTGTCTGCCTGCATGTGTATGTGCGTGCTGTGTGTGTGAGTGTGTCTGCCTGCATGTGTATGTGCGTGCTGTGTGTGAGTGTGTCTGCCTGCATGTGTATGTGCGTGCTGTGTGTGTGAGTGTGTGTCTGCCTGCATGTGTATGTGCGTGCTGTGTGTGAGTGTGTGTCTGCCTGCATGTGTATGTGCGTGCTGTGTGTGTGAGTGTGTCTGCCTGCATGTGTATGTGCGTGCTGTGTGTGTGAGTGTGTCTGCCTGCATGTGTATGTGCGTGCTGTGTGTGTGAGTGTGTGTCTGCCTGCATGTGTATGTGCGTGCTGTGTGTGTGAGTGTGTGTCTGCCTGAATGTGTATGTGCGTGCTGTGTGTGTGAGTGTGTCTGCCTGAATGTGTATGTGCGTGCTGTGTGTGTGAGTGTGTGTCTGCCTGCATGTGTATGTGCGTGCTGTGTGTGTGAGTGTGTGTCTGCCTGAATGTGTATGTGCGTGCTGTGTGTGTGAGTGTGTGTCTGTCTGCATTTGTATGTGCGTGCTGTGTGTGTGTCTGCCTGCATGTGTATGTGCATGCTGTGTGTGAGTGTGTGTCTGCCTGCATGTGTATGTGCATGCTGTGTGCGTGAGTGTATCTGCCTGCATGTGTATGTGCATGCTGTGTGCGTGAGTGTGTCTGCCTGCATGTGTATGTGCATGCTGTGTGTGTGTCTGCCTGAATGTGTATGTGCGTGCTGTGTGTGTGTGTGTGTCTGCCTGCATGTGTATGTGCGTGCTGTGTGTGAGTGTGTGTCTGCCTGCATGTGTATGTGCGTGCTGTGTGCGTGAGTGTGTCTGCCTGCATGTGTATGTGCATGCTGTGTGTGTGAGTGTGTGTCTGCCTGAATGTGTATGTGCATGCTGTGTGTGTGAGTGTGTGTCTGCCTGAACGTGTATGTGCGTGCTGTGTGCGTGAGTGTGTGTCTGCCTGCATGTGTATGTGCGTGCTGTGTGTGTGAGTGTGTCTGCCTGAATGTGTATGTGCATGCTGTGTGTGTGAGTGTGTCTGCCTGCATGTGTATGTGCATGCTGTGTGTGTGTGTGTGCCTGAATGTGTATGTGCGTGCTGTGTGTGTGAGTGTGTGTCTGCCTGAATGTGTATGTGCGTGCTGTGTGTGTGAGTGTGTGTCTGTCTGAATGTGTATGTGCGTGCTGCGTGTGTGAGTATGTGTCTGCCTGAATGTGTATGTGCCTGCCTGAATGTGTATGTGCGTGCTGTGTGTGTGAGTGTGTGTCTGCCTGCATGTGTATGTGCGTGCTGTGTGTGTGTGTCTGCCTGAATGTGTATGTGCGTGCTGTGTGCGTGAGTGTGTCTGCCTGCATGTGTATGTGCGTGCTGTGTGTGTGAGTGTGTCTGCCTGCATGTGTATGTGCGTGCTGTGTGCGTGAGTGTCTGCCTGCATGTGTATGTGCGTACTGTGTGTGCGTCTCCCTGCATGTGTATGTGGGTACTGTGTATGTCTCCCTGCATGTGTATGTGCATGCTGTGTGTGTGTGTCTCCTGCATGTGTATGTGCGTGTCTGCCTGCATGTGTATGTGCGTGCTGTGTGCGTGTACAGCTGCGTGATTGGGCGTTATGAATGAATCGACCATTGGCTCTTCTATCCCTGCGCTCAGCAATCTGGGTCACGAGCTCAGCACCAATGTCGGGGTCTGCTCGTGGCCACACGAGAGGCCTTCCGGAGAGAGTTCTTGTCGCTTCGTTGCTCCTCATCCTTCGTCGCAGGAGCGCAGTCCTCAGTGGTTTACAGTGTGGCCCATAGTCTGCCGTACATGGCTACAATCTGTGGATTGCTTTTAATGTTAATGTGAGATTTTATCTGCCTCTTGTGTCTTTAATTCTCCACTTAGGACGATGTGCGCATTGACCGGATTCTGTTGCGTTGCGGCTGATGGTTCCACACGAGTGTACCCATTCAACGGATCGAGTTCTATCAGTTAAGCACTAAATTATTGTTGACGATGAAAAATACATCCAGTGTTCAATTAGTGGTGTGGTTACAATTTTATCTTTTGCATTACCGGTATTCGCATGAAAAACCGGTTACCGATTTGCCGCGCACGTAGAAACATCGAGCGCAATAAACGCAACTCCGAAGCGCCGGCACGTTGTCTCGTTCCGATATGTGCGTTCGTTTCTCGC